GGATACGTGCACCCTAATGTTAGCAGCATTATCAACAAATGCTATCAGCATTTGTTATCAGCCAAACTATGGAGAGAGTCCTAATGTCCATCAACTGATGAATGGATAAAAAATATATGAGATACACACACACACACACACACACACACACACACACAAACACACACACACACAGAGGAATATTACTCAGCCATCAAAAAGAATGAAATCTTGCTGTTTACAATAACATGGACTGAACTAGAATGTATTATGCTAAGTGAACTAAGTCAGACAAATACCATATGATCTCACTTATGTGGAATTTAAGAAAGAAAACAGATGAACATATGGGAAGAGGGAAAAGAAAAAATAAAAGGAGAGAGGGAAACAAGCCATAAGAGACTCTTAATGATAGAGAACAAACTGAGGGTTGATGGAGGGAGGTGGATGGGAAATTGGGTAGATGGGTACTGGGTATTAAGGAGGGCATTTGTTATGATGAGCACTGGGTGTTATAAGTGATGAATCACTGGATTCTATTCCAGAAATCAATATTGCACTGTATGTTAACTACGTAAAATTCAAATTAAAAAAAGGCATGATATATATATCTGAGACTCTTAACAATAGGGAACAAATTGAAGGTTGCTGGAGGGGACGTGGGCAGGGAATGGGGTAACTGAGTGATGGGCATAAAGGAGTGCACTTGTTATAATGAGCACTGGGTGTTATATGCAAGGGATGAATCACTAAATTCTACCCCTGAAACTAATACTACACTCTGTGTTAACTAACTTGAGTTTATGTAAAATCTTGAAAGAAAACAAAACAAAAAAAACAAAGCAGACATAACAAAGAAAAGAAGACATCTAACCTTGAACTTTTGTGTTGGTATCTTACCCAACTTCATGCCTATTTGGTGATGGTAGTAACAGACTATGAGGTATACTGTGGGGAGAGAGCTGTGGCGCTCTAGAATAGGCCATAGTGGAGTCAATACTCTCACATCAGAGACTGTGCAGTAGAGTCATCAGAACTGGGCAAGTTCTTGCAGATTCCTTCAAAGAATTCAACATGTATTCTACAAGACATTTGAGTGCCTACCCTAAATGACATTGAAAGGCAGCCTTTCTCATGTCCTTAGAAAAAAGGACTGCAACTAACAGAAAGGGAAATTGCATGCTTAATTAAGTGAAATATATCTTTTTAGCCTCAGTTCAGTGGGAACTATAAATCAAAGGAGGTGGACAGGATGGAGAAGGAGACTGCACTTCTTCCCTGTTCTGAGTCAGTGGGACTAAGATTGACTGCTAAAATGGAGCATTTCATGAGGAGAAGCCTGAGGGTTTTTAATAATTTAAAATGACTAGAAAATTATAGGTTCTACCCCAAATGTTAATGGAGAAGGAAGAGGTATGTGTCAGAGACCATGCCTGTGGCCTACTGCACTACTCGCGAGTGCAGACTTTTTTAATAAACTCATCATAAATGTCCAAGGCATCTTGAACTTAACATGTGCAAAAGTGAATCAAGATTGCCTCCTCTAAATCTGCCTGCTTCCCATCTTACCTAGATCAGTAAAGAGCCCCATTCTCCCAGTTGCTTTGGCCCCATACCTAAGAATAACCCTTAGTTCTTTTCCATTTAAACTCACATTCAGTGTAACAGCAGAATCTGTTGGCTCTACCCTAAAAGACTTCTCCCCACCTTCACTCTGATCACTATTCTTGTCACATGCAACATGTAACTGGTGGTTCTTTAATCCCCGTCCTCCTAACTGGTCTTCCTTTTTCTCCTCTTGAGCTCCCTGCCCTTGTCACTCTCTCTGCAGTTAATCTTCCATACAGTAGTCAGAGAGATGTTATAAAATTATAAAGCAGACATTATGACTCCTTGTTCAAACCCACTAGTGGACCCTCATTATAGCTAGAATAAAATCTGCCATTTTTTACCAAGGACTGCAAGGCCTCACAAAAGTGGCCCCTGTTTCTCTGACCTCGTTTTCTACCATTCTCTCTCTTTCTTTTCATCTATCTAAGCTAGAATATGCATCCCTACAGCAGACCCTACATCCTTGTTGTTTTGCCTGGAACACTCTTTCTCCCCTCTGTATACCGTCTTTCTTCTGTTACTCTGCTTATATTTCTTCATGGCATTTATCTGAAAGTTATTATATGTTAATTTGTTATTATTTGCCTGTTTTTATTTTAAAATGTAAACTACTTGAGTGCAGTGGCTTTTTTCCTGCTATTATATTCTCAGTATCTAGAGTAGGCACCCAATATATTTTTGTTAAATGCATTAGTATCTTTTGAAGATTTAAAGTTTATTATTTTAGTTCTCTTCAGATTGCTGCAGCTGTATTTCTTTGGGTTGAAATTCTCCAATTTGTTGGGGCTTGTGAAGTGTCACTTGTGGTGCTGGATTTCCTCATGCATTTTCATAATTTTTTTGGTGTCTCTTATTCCTTGAGAATTATCTTTGTGGATGTTTTATCCTGTGAATATTCTGCTGCAGTTCCCTTCTTGTGGGGAGTTTTGTGGTTTTTATTGCCTTAGCTATCAGGGTACAGCATCACCAAACCAGATCTCACCTGTTTTGGCTTGGGATTCTTGTATGGCATGGATGGCACACTTCCAGTAGGGCTTTGAGCCCTGAGAAGATTAGGTCCGGGCCTGTGCAGGTGACTTTGTTTTCATGGCTAGGGCAGATGGGTAGGGTATTTTCTGCTCCCAGCTTTGCTCAGGGAGTCTCAATTCCATTTCTCACCATGTTGGGTTCTAAAATCATTCTACCCTCCAGCCCCTCTTTATTTATGCTTAAGCTCAGTTGTGTAGTTTTAATAATAATAATTAATACTACTACTACTACTAATAAATATAACAGGCAAAACCAAGCCAGCCAGAAAGAAGGTGGTGTATTCTCTAGTGCCTTTGGCATATGTTTTTATCTCCTCCCAATCCCTTAAGTCTTGGATTTTAAAATCTTTCCTCCCACCCTTTCTGGTGCCTCCACCGAAAAGGATACTAAATTCTTCACTTTAGGTTCTGGATTATAATTTCCACTTGCAAAACCAATAGTGACTTTTGCTAAACTCAGGTGTTCCCAATTATAGGGCCTCTTCCCAAACATGGACATCTGAGGTTTCCAACCTCATCCTTGGGTCTGCACCATTGACCCTTTTGACTCAGTATTTTCATCTGGTGGTGAGACTATTTAGCTAGTCAGTCTCCTTGTTCAGGATTCAGAAAGAACGTGCAGAATGTCTATGTTAACAGTTCCAATTCTCCCTCTTCAGATACCAATTCTTGTGTCCTAATACTATTGCAATTGTTCAAAAGTTATTATAAAAATACAATCAGAATGTGTTTAGACGGAAACAGAGGGGTATATAAGCAAGTTTGCAATCTGTTAGAGTGATCCATGTTTTAAAAATTGGGAAATTTTATCTAAAATCTGGATTAAGTGAGATGTTTTGGCAACTCTAGGTCTGCATTCTTGCATGGAGAAATTGGCTAGAGCTGAGCAGCAGCTACCTTCTTTAAACTGTACGTGATCTTTCCACTGTTACAAGGTGATGTGCTTCACCTACTCATTTATATTATCTTCCTGGGCTCCATTGGCATCTGAATTTTTAAAGTCTTGACAAGAATTCAGTTTTAATAGTAATGTAATTTAATTTCAATCTGAGGAACCCCAAGGGATATTGGTATTGCATAAAAATCATTTGTAACATAGGTATGAGGACCAGATTTGAATTATGGAAAATTTGGACCTAGTGTGAAAGGTGGTTTCATGAATTCTATGCTAAAGATCACTATTGTCAGTACTTGATCTGGTTTAAATATTGAGTCACTGTTTGTGTCTGTTTCCTGGGAAATTGAGTTAGGAACTGAAGTAATGGGAAATCCTACAGTTATGAATCAAAGAGAATTGTCTGACAGTTCTAATCTGGAGGACTTGGGTAATGTGAAAGCAAACAAATATGAGAAACATGAATCAATCTTTTGTACACTTTAGAAATAGAATATCTGTTCTTGGGAAAAGTCTCACATTTGATAGGCTGAGAAGTAAAGAACTTACTTGAGGTTCTCTGTGAAATCACTAAAAAATAAGAAAAAGAAATCCATGTGATTTTTCATAAATAGAAAAAAACATAGTATTATCTAACATTTTCCACTGGTGTCTCTGAGGGGAGGACTTGGGTAGACATAAGAAGAAAGCTTACTTTGAGGGAACACTCAAAATTCTCTATTTAAACATTATTTTGGACTTCCTGTTTGTCTGTCAAAAATTTTGCCTCCCTCTGTTATTTATAATTTTCAGGGTTTTTTGTTGTTGACAAATGCTACTTTACTTCTTTTGTTTTAATCAGTATATTCTTAAATTATCTATAATGTAGGGGAAGCTAGGTAGTAAAGGAGTAAGAGAGTAACGAGAAACTCAAATCACTTTAACAGAACGAAGTCCCTTAGGCTTTGAAGACCAGAGAACCATAGTAGAGAAAGAGATATAATACTTACATATGGGAGGCAGGGGCACACCATAAAAAAAATAGATATCAGTGAATAATTGTTTGAAAGGAACAACTTTCCTTTTAGGGAAGCATACTGGTGTGAGGAAGAAGCTTGGTAGTCACATGGCTCTTGGTTCAAACTATGGTTCAGTGAACTGTGTTCCAGGGCAAGTATGTGTCCTTGGTTTCTTAGCCCTTGAAAGAGGTCAAATGATTTACTCCAAGGATTAAATGGGATATAACATAGTTAAAGCACCTGTATAGTTCTTATCACTCAGGAGATGCAAAGTAAACAAATGTTTGAAATTAAATAAATGTAAGTTTACTTCACAGGATGAGCAGAAGGCAAAGAAAGGTAAGAGCTATGAGTCTCAGGCTGTTGCACAGCAGTTAAAAATGAGTAGGGCAGAAACATTCTGTAGGCCATGTAGAGAACAGTAACAATAGAAAAACAGTAAAAAACAAACAAACAAAAAACCCAAAAAACAAAACAGACTGAACTTACCTCTGGGCATTGAAGATGGTGGACCAGCTGAAAGACAGAAAAGTATTTTTGCAAGTCTTTTCTCTTCCACTCTTTTTTCCCCTCTCAGTTTAGAGTTCTTTTTCATTAAGTCATTGTAACAATAGGGAAAATGTTCCCTTTGGTTTTTATTTACTTTCAGTGTAAATCAGCAGGATTTGAACTTTCAAAAAAGCATGAATACCCATGGTATTTGGCCATGGGAAGGCAAGTGGTTAAGGAATTATGTGCCCATGCCCAGAAATCCCAGCATAGCCAGGGAAAGAAGTTATAGGACTCCATAGCAGAGGAAATATGGAAAGACTTACTGAGGGCAGGTGGGACTGATCCAGCTGGAAAAGAGAACAGAGAAAATTGTTACCTCCTTTTCCTTTCTTCCCCACTCAGTTTGTTTTGTCCCTTGTAACATGTCATTTTCAACTGCTGGAAAACCTTCCTCTCTGATCTTTATTTTTTATGTAAATCATAGAATTTGATTTTTTCCATAAAATTGTTAAAAAGCTAGGAGAATTATCAGTAGTTTGAATACAGGATGTCTAAGAAATAGGAACTTCAAGCCTCTAAAATTCCAAATGGCCAGGGAAATTTTCCTCAGGTGTCTTGGAATTCAAAATGTGGAAAAACAGAGTGGGTAGGGCAGGAGGTCCAAATGAAAAACTGTTTTAGAAACTTCTGATCCCCTCCTTTCTCTTCCATCATTTTTTCCTTTTCTGTAGATAGTCTCATTAGTGGTCTCTGTTACTAAGCAAAACTTTTTTCTCCCCTGTTTTATGTAAATCAGTAGTGTTAGAACTTTCTACTGCATCATGAATCACCCAGAGGGACTTTGCTAATGAAATAGCAAGGGGCCATGAGGTACCTCAAGCCCTTTGCATACCAACATGGCTAGATGAAGACTCTTGGACCCCACTAAGAACCAGTCAAGCCTGTGGCAGAGAATTAAATGAATACACAGACTTACTGTTTGTGTGAGGAGTTGATCCCACTGAAAAATAAGCAGAGAGATTTCGTATTGTTCCCTGCTCACTTACTCTCCTATTCGTTTTTTTCTATTGGTAAATTTTCTAGTGATATAACTGTTTAAAAAGTTTTTTTGATCAGGAGTATTTGAACTTTCTAGAAAACTTACAATCAGCTGGTGGAATTCAGGTTAATGGGGAAGCAAAAGCTAAGAAAATAAGTTTCAAGTTCATATACTGGAACTCAAATTCTAATAGACATTGCTGGACTTTGATAAGTGCACAGCAAAGAAACAAATAAACAACTTACTAATTGCTCATATAGATGACCCAGCTGGAAAACAGAAATATTATCTGTATCTTTGTTTTTCCTGTTCATTGCTTCTCCTTCTGTATGGAAATTCCCTGCCAATCTTTAGAAACATGGAGAAATTTTTTCTCTGCTCTTTAGTTTTTATGCGACTCGGTGAATATTTTAGAAACTTACTAATAACCTAGTGGAATTCTGAGTAATGGATAAAAAAGGGTCAGGGAAATAGGAGCTTTAAGCTATTGCTATCCCAATATGGATGGATAAATTTTTTTTTTCAAGTAGATCTGTTAGACACTGCTGGAGATAATTGAGTTCCATCATGAAGGGAGATAGTCATACTTACAAGAGGATCCTGTAGCTGAAAAACAAAAAGATAAATCAGTGTGGAAAGACTGGTGAAAGAGGGGTTAGTTTTCTTGCTCATTTTTCTGAGAGGGAATATCAGAAATGTTCATGGAGCGAGCACTGAACCCTTATAGATGTTGTGCACTTCTGCCTCTTGCTTTGTTTGAGAGGCTTTGGGAAAGAGAGATGATTTATCTCTTCCCTTTTTGCAGTGAGTGGTAACTGCTTAAAATCCTACAGGAGATTGGTAATTTAAACTGTGCTGCTTTTACTTTTCTACTCCCTGTTTCTGCTCTTCTGAGCAAGCTTTCATTCATTCATACAAATGTCCTCCCCCCACCCTTGTTGACAGATTACAATAAATTTCAGGTAGTTTCCTCTGATATTTTTATGTAATATATCCATATTAAGTTTTTCAGGTTAATAAGTGGGGTTTGTATTCCCCTTAATTCATCCATTCCTTGGGTGGGGGTGCAGCCTGGTAGTGGAATAAGCAAGAGATGGAGAAACATGATTGTCTATACGTACAAGACAGAAGCAAAAGATTGCAGACCCTGTAGGAAGCCTAAGGCAACTACTGTGTAAGAACAAGTATGGAACTTACTAGTCATTTCTGAAGTTTCACCTGGCAGAAAAATGGAAGGGAAAGAAAAGGAAGAAATCAGAGTATGTAGAATGAAGAGAACTCAGTTATCCCATGATGGGCTTGAAAAGGGTAACTACAAGGAGGATGCAGGGAGCTCTAAAACTTGCCTGTTAGCTCAGTGCAACATCTGGACTTAAGCTCCCACCCCTGTGTTTTGCATCCTCAGGCCTGCTTCTGCTGGTCTGGGGCAGAAGCGTGGCTGTCCTCCTTCCTTTCCATTCCTTTCAGTGGTGGTAAATGCTTGAAATTTCTAGAGGTCCATAATATCTTAAATGTGTACTTCTGTGTACCTTTGTCATTCTCATTTTCATTTATTTCTTTTCCCTCCCTAACCTTTTAGTTGATTTGGAAAGTTTTCTTCCCATTCCTTTTTTTTTTTAACTAGTCCCACTTGGAGCACTCATTTTTATTAAAAAAAAATAATCAGTGCATTTTGTATTTTCTTCAAATTACCTGTAATTTAGGGAAACCTAGGAAGGAATAAATGTAGCAGTATAATTTCCACTTATACATTACTGTATGTTTTAAGTGTTTACACATAGGGGAGAGGGAATTAAGCAGGAAAGGAAAGGGAAAGGAAATCCATGTACCCATATAGATTCTCAGGCACATGATAGCTATTTGGGGACTTTGGGCCAGATGAGACCCTTTCTTTATCCCCTATGAGATCCTCTGAGGTGAGCTGCTTTGTGATTTCTCCCTTATAAGAATTATGAGAACTTCCAAGCTCTAAGTCTTGGTGATAAGTTAGAGTACTGAGAAAGGAGGCCCTGAATTAGGAGAACAGTCTACAAATGATGACTCATGTTATTCACAAAGGAAGTATTTAGAACCTGCATTTAGGGCAGGCAGCATCCACTTTTAGTGATCATAATATGATTGTGGAAGACTGCCTGCCCTCTCCATGTTTTGAGTTCCTTTCCCCAAGATATCTTGTAGGACGATAAACTTCATGGCATCAGAGATTAACCAAATCTTTCTCTTACTCATGACTTTATTTTGGAAGTATATTTTTTATTATGTTCAGTTAACCAGCCTATAGTACATCATAAGTTTTTTGATATAGTGTTCATGACTTTATCCCCAAGCCTCAGCTTGGTTTCTGATATAAGAGCTCAGCTAGTTGAAGGGCTGTTTGAGTACATCTGACTTGCCTTCTGATAATGTCCTCCCTCTTGTTTGGCTTAAACTTTGGAATGCTATTACTTAATTTCCGGACTCAGAATTTACAATGACCTGAGGTTTGGTTTGTTTTGACACTCTAGAATTTGACACCAGTTTTGCCCTCACTGGTCACAATATGAGCTTACCCTCACTCTCTTTCACTTGTAGTTTGTAGTTGCCTGATGCATCTACCAGTTCCTATAACTGCAGCCCACCTACCATCACATCCTGTTCCCTGAAGCTGTGTGTGTGTGTGTGTGTGTGTGTGTGTGTGTGTGTGTGTGTGTGTTGGGTGTTTGGGGCAAGTGGGCAGGATAGGGCATGAGGAAAGAGAAAGCACTGGGAGAAAAGATTGGGGAAGTCAGTATAGACTAGATCCTTAGTAGTATTCCCTAGTACACTTTTCCCAGGAAACTGGGACAGAAAAACTGGTAAGACCTCAGTCCTATTTAATTTGATTGTTTTTTCCATATTTTACATTTATTTTTAAAATTTGCTTTCCTTTTTTTTCATTTTCTTTACATTGTCTCTATTGTCTTTGAGTAGGCCCTTTATGAACTACAAATTACTTCAGAAGTGAAAAGCTACACTTATTCTTTCTCTGTTACTGTAGAAAATTTTATATTATAGAAGCCATTATGACCATTACTAGGGACATTTTCTTAAGAAATAACCTTAGAGAATTCTCAGCAAGTGGAAACTGAGATGCATAAAAACATGTCTAAAAACACTGTCCTTATGGTAATAGATAACATCTGGGACAGGGGACAGGCCCTCTATACACTGTAGAAGATCAAAGAACACCAGAGGAAAAAGGTAGATAAGGGACTTACCACTGGGCCCAGTATATTGCACTAAAAATAGAAACAAACATAAATTACTGTGGTTGTTGAACATGATAAACACACATACCACTGATGTTTTCCAAAGGAGAACAGTTAAATAGCTTCCCAGAATTACTAAATACCAATCTTCAAGATTAAATATTTTTATTGGACTGTATCCTTGCCCTAAGAATCAGATCTTCCACTAGGAGACTTGTAGCCCTGTTGTAGTTGGAGGGAGAACCATTTCATGCTTGCCTTTTACTACAACAGGTGTTTGAAGTGAAATCTTTACTGTATTCCTTTCCTTCATTTTCCCCATCTTTTTTTCTCCCATGTCACTTTTTTTTCACTCTCTTGGCCATCCTTCTTTTGTTTTCTTTCTCATTTCTTATGTCCTCCCCCAGAGTCTCTCTATTGCATCTTTGTTTGGAAGAGTCTCTTTTTTAAAAATTTTTTATTATTAATCACCATACCTTACATCATTAGTTTTTGATGTAGTGTTCCATGATTCATTGTTTGTGCATAACACCCAGTGCTCCATGCAGAACGTGCCCTCTTTAATACCCATCACCAGGCTAACCCATCCCCCCACCCCCTCCCCTCTAGAACCCTCAATTAATTTGGAACAGTCTTCTAATGTATACTGACAAACTACTATAATTATTATTAGAAAAATGTTATGCTACCTATTATAAATTTGAGCAATATATATGAGTTGATGTATATACAGGAAACTTACCAATAGGTCCTGGAGTTTGCACTAAAAAGAAATCAAAACTGACATATTAGTATGAGTGTTTGGATGGAGAATACATTTTTCATTAATTTTATTCTAGGGATGGGGCTTTGGGAGGTAGAGTTAGGGAGAAGAAGTGATAACAGTAATAAGAACATTAGGGAGAACTAATCCAGGTATGATAACTATATAGCAAAAGAGATATTGAGCATATATTGCAATTCAGCCTAGATGAGGATCTCTCTAGAATCATTGTCAACCTAGGAGAGGTTAGAGACATTAAAGGTTTAAACTTTATATTTTTCTTTCCTGTCAGAAGATACTGCTTTTTTAAAGGACCACCCTTGTACTGAAATATTTCTGACCAACTAATATGCTCTAGGGTAGGCTTGAAAGTAGGAGGTAAGGATACAGTCTTCTCACAGTTTCCAGCTTACTGACTACTGCTTTCATTAGCTTGAGTGTCTCCGGGAAAGAGTAAAAAAAAAAAAAAAAAACAGTTTTTAATGAGAATTTGGCCTTCAGGTGATTTTCTAGTTCTGATTAAACCTGCTATCTTACTTGACAACATTCCTTTTACTTAAGAATGATCCTTGGGGCACCTGGGTAGTTCAGTCAGTTAAGTGTCTGACTCTTGATTTTCGCTCTGGTCATGATGTCAGGGTCATGAAATCGAGCCCCGCGTTGGGCTCCATGCTCAGAACAGAGTCTGCTTAAGACTCTCTTCCTCTCCCCCTCCCCCACGGACTCCCTCTATTTCTAAAATAATTAATTAACTAATTAATTAATTAAAAAATAAGAAAATGAAAAGAAGAATGATTCTTGGTTGGTAAACTGCATGTGAACTGGGAGAACTATAAATACCTGTTAGAAAGCCATATCTTTGGGCTTCCCTGAATGTAGTGACCATGTATTTGGGCATGTTCCTTATAGGATCCCTGCAGGTTATGTGTGTGGAGTTCTTATAGGATATTTTGGCTCCTGGGGATTCTAACTCCAAGCAGCTTCTGTATGTAGCCTATGGGAGGCCAAAGAGAATACTTCCTGGGTGGCACCTTAGACACCTGCATAGACCACTTCGAGGATTACTGTCACAGAAGAGGGATGGTTGATGCTGCCCTAGTGGCAAGCTGTGCTTCCTGCCTTATATCCCGCTGAGTAGCCTGGTGAAGGCTGGGATCATCATCTGAGTCTGCACAGTTAATTGAATCTTAAAGGACCACCCCTCCTTTCAGTGGGGATTGCATTGTCTCTCTTCTCCATAGCTCCGTACTTCATGGCACTCATGATGGGAAATATCCCAGTTCTAACCCATAAGCCCCCAAAACTTTAACTGTGAATTTTTTTTTTCTGTGTAAAAAAGCTAGAAAATGGATTACCAGTTGTAGCTATCCTGGACCATGAGTTGTAGACAAGCTAGAAATTTACGTATTTTGCAAAAGTAATTTAATGTTTGCTTTGACTGTATCTATTAAAAAAAATGCCCTTGATCCTGGAGTGGAATTCCTAGGATACCTGCCCTGTGGTATAAGCCACTGAATCTTTAGACAGAATATCATTTCAAGTATTACTATTATTTTTTTATCTTTAAATTTTTTTATTATGTTAATCACCATACATTACATCATTGGTTTTTGATGTAGTGTTCCATGATTCATTGTTTGTGCATAACACCCAGTGCTCCATGCAGAACGTGCCCTCTTTAATACTCATCACCAGGCTAACCCATCCTCCCACCCCCCTCCCCTCTAGAACCATCAGTTTGTTTTTCAGACTCCATCGTCCCTCATGATTTGTCTCCCCCTCTGATTTACTCCCCTACATTCTTCCCCTCCTGCTATCTTCTTCTTTTTTTTTTTTTAACATACATTGCATTATTTGTTTCAGAGGTACAGATCTGTGATTCAACAGTCTTGCACAATTCACAGCACTCACCATAGCACATACCTTCCCCAATGTCTATCACCCAGCCACCGCATCCCTCCCACCCCCCGAACACTCCAACAACCCTCAGTTTGTTTCCTGAGATTAAGAATTCCTCATATCAGTGAGGTCACAGGATACATGTCTTTCTCTGATTGACTTATTTCACTCAGCATAACACCCTCCAGTCCATCCACATCGTTGCAAATGGCAAGATCTCATTCCTTTTGATGGCTTCATAATATTCCATTGTGTATATATACCACCTCTTCTTTATCCATTCATCTGTCGATGGACATCTTGGCTCTTTCCACAGTTTGGCTATTGTGGACATTGATGCTATAAACATTGGGGTGCACGTACCCCTTCGGATCCCTACATTTGTATCTTTGGGGTAAATACCCAGTAGTGCAATTGCTGGATCATATGGTAGCTCTATTTTCAACTTTTTGAGGAACCTCCATACTGTTTTCCAGAGTAGCTGCACCAGCTTGCATTCACACCAAAAGTGTAGGACGGTTCCCCTTTCTCCGCATCCCCGCCAACATCTGTCGTTTCCTGACTTGTTAATTTTAGCCATTCTGACTGGTGTGAGGTGGTATCTCATTGAGGTTTTGATTTGGATCTCCCTGATGCCAAACGATGTTGAGCACTTTTTCATGTGTCTGTTGGCCGTTTGGATGTCTTCTTTGGAAAAATGTCTGTTCATGTCTTCTGCCCATTTCTTGATTGGATTATTTGTTCTTTGGGTGTTGAGTTTGAGAAGTTCTTTATAGATTTTGGATACTAGCCCTTTATCTGATATGTCATTTGCAAATATTTTCTCCCATTCTGTCGGTTGCATTTTTGTTTTGTGGACTGTTCCTTTTGCTGTGCAAAAGCTTTTTATCTTGATGAAATCACAATAGTTCATTTTGCCTTTGCTTCCCTTGCCTTTGGCAATGTTTCTAGGAAGAAGTTCCTGCGGCTGAGGTGGAAGAGGTTCCTGCCTGTGTTCTCCTTTAGGATTTTGATGGACTCCTGTCTCACATTTAGGTCTTTCAACCATTTTGAGTCTATTTTTGTGTGTGGTGTAAGGAAATGGTCCAGTTTCATTCTTCTGCATGTGGCTGTCCAATTTTCCAACACCATTTGTTGAAGAGACTTTCTTTTTTCCATTGGACATTCCTTCCTGCTTTGTTGAAGATTAGTTGACCATAGAGTTGAGGGTCCATTTCTGGGCTCTCTATTCTGTTCCATTGATCTATGTGCCTGTTTTTGTGCCAGTACCATACTGTCTTGAGGATGACAGCTTTGTAATAGAGCTTGAAGTCCAGAATTGTGATGCCACCAGCTTTGCTTTTCTTTTTCTGCATTCCTCTGGCTATTCGGGGTCTTTTCTGGTTCCATACAAATTTTAGGATGATTTGTTCCATGTCTTTGAAAAAAGTGGATGGTATTTTGATGGGGATTGCATTGAATGTGTAGATTGCTCTAGGTAGCATTGACATCTTCACAGTGTTTGTTCTTCCAATCCATTGGCATGGAACGTTTTTCCATTTCTTTGTGTCTTCCTCACTTTCTTTCATGAGTATTTTATAGTTTTCTGAGTACAGATCCTTTGCCTCTTTGGTTAGATTTATTCCTAGGTATCTTATGGTTTTGGGTGCAATTGTAAATGGGATCGACTCCTTAATTTCTCTTTCTTCTGTCTTGTTGGTGGTGTATAGGAATGCCACTGATTTCTGTGCATTGATTTTATATCCTGCTACTTTACTGAATTCCTGTATGAGTTCTAGCAGTTTTGGGGTGGAGTCTTTTTGGTTTTCCACATAAAGTATCATATGTGCAAAGAGTGAGTTTGACTTCCTCTTTGCCGATTTGGATGCCTTTGATTTCTTTTTGTTGTCTGATTGCTGTGGCTAGGACCTCTAATACTATGTTGAATAGCAGTGGTGATAGTGGACATCCCTGCCGCATTCCTGACCTTAGGGGAAAAGCCCTCAGCTTTTCCCCATTGAGAATGATATTCGCTGTAGGCTTTTCATAGATGGCTTTTATGATGTTGAGGTATGTACCTGCTATCTCTATACTCTGAAGAGTTTTGATGAAGAAAGGATGCTGTACTTTGTCAAATGCTTTTTCTGCATCTATTGAGAGGATCATATGATTCTTGTTCTTTCTCTTGTTAATGTATTGTATCACGTTGGTTGATTTGCGGATGTTGAACCAACCTTGCAGCCCAGGGATAAATCCCGCTTGGTCATGGTGAATAATCCTTCTAATGTACTGTTGGATCTATTGGCTAGTATTTTGGTGAGAATTTTTGCATCCATGTTCATCAAGGATATTGGTTTCTAATTCTCCCTTTTGATGGCGTCTTTGTCTGGTTTTGGGATCAAGGTAATGGTAGCCTCATAAAACGAGTTTGGAAGTTTTCCTTCCATTTCTATATTTTGGAACAGTTTCAGGAGAATAGGTATTAATTCTTGAAATATTTGGTAGGATTCCCCTGGGAAGCCATCTAGCCCTGGGGTTTTGTTTTTTGGGAGATTTTTGATGACTGCTTCAATTTCCTTAGTTGTTATAGGTCTGTTCAGGTTTTCTATTTCTTCCTCGTTCAATTGTGGTAGTTGATACATCTCTAGGAATGCATCCATTTCTTCCAGGTTATCTAATTTGCTGGCATAGGGTTGCTCATAATATGTTCTTATAATTGTTTGTATTCTTTGGTGTTGGTGTGATCTCTCCTCTTTCATTCATGATTTTGTTGATTTGGGTCATTTTCTTTTCTTTTTGATAAGTGTGGCCACGGGTTTATCAATCTTTTTAATTCTTTCAAAGAACCAGCTCCTAGTTTCTTTGATCAGTTCTATGGTTGTTTTGGTTTCTATTTCATTGATTTCTGCTCTGATCTTTATTATTTCTCTGCTCCTGCTGGGTTTAGGCTTTATTTGCTGTTTTTTCTCCTGCTCCTTTAGGTGTAGGGTTAGGTTGTGTATAATTGCCTTATATAATTGGCTGCTCCTATGTTAGCGACATAGATATTTACAATTGTTAGATCTTCTTGGTGGATAGATCCTTTAAGTAGGATATAGTGTCCTTCCGCATCTCTTATTACAATCTTTGTTTTGAAATCTAATTTGTCTGATATAAGGATTGCCACCCCAGCTTTCTTTTGGTGTCCATTAGCATGGTATATGGTTTTCCATCCCCTCACTTTCAATCTGGGGATGTCTTTGGGTCTAAAATGAATCTCTTGCAGACAGCATATTGATGGGCCTTGTTTTTTAATCCAATCTGATAGCCTGTGTCTTTTGATTGGGGCATTTAGCCCATTTACATTCAGGGTAACTATTGAAAGATATGAGTTCAGTGCCATTGTATTGCCTGTAAGGTGACTGTTTCTGTATATTGTCTGTATTCCTTTCTGGTCTATGTTGCTTTTAGGCTCTCTCTTGGCTTAGAGGACCCCTTTCAATATTTCTTGGAGGGCTGGTTTCGTGTTTGCAAATTCCTTTAGTTTTTGTTTGTCCTGGAAGCTTTTTATCTCTCCTTCTATTTTCAATGACATCCTAGGTGGATATAGTATTATTGGCTGCACATTTTTCTCATTTGGTGCTCTGAAGATATCTTGCCAGTCCTTTCTGGCCTGTCAGGTCTCTGTCTGTGCATAGGTCTGTTGGCAATCTAATGTTTCTACCATTATAGGTTACATATCTCATCTCCTGAGCTGCTTTCAGGATTTTCTCTTTGTCTCTGAGACTCGTAAGTTTTACTATTAGATGTCGGGGCGTTGACCTATTATTATTGATTTCGAGAGGGGTTCTCTGTGCATCCTGGATTTTGATGTCTGTTTCCTTCCCCACGTTATGTAAGTTTTCTGCTATAATTCCCTGCAATATACCTTCTGTCCCTCTCTGTCTTTCTTCTTCTTCTGGGATCCCAATTATTCAAATGTTGTTTTGTCTTATCATATCGCTTATCTCTCGAATTCTGCCCTCCTGATCCAGTAGTTGTTTATCTCTCTTTTTCTCAGCTTCTTTATTCCATCATTTGTTCTTCTATATCGCTAATTCTCTCTTCTCCCTCATTTATCCTAGCAGTTAGTGCCCCCATTTTTGATTGTGCCTAGTTAATATCCTTTTTGATTTCAACTTGGTTAGATTTTAGTTCTTTTATTTCTCCAGGAAATGTTTCTCTAATAACGTCCATGCTTTTTTCAAGCCCAGCTAGTATCTTTAAAATCATGATTCTGAACTCTAGGTCTGACATCATACTAATGTCTGTATTGACTAGGTCCCTGGCAGACGGTACTACCTCTTGTTCTTTTTGCTGAGGTGATTTTTTTCATCTTGTCATTTTGTCCAGAGGGGAATAGATGAATGAGAGAACAAAATACTAACAGGTTAACAACATCCCCAGAAAATATATTCTAAACAAATCAGGAAAGACCTGAAACCAGGGGAAAAGAAAGGGAAAGAAAGAAAAAAGAGAAAAAAAAAAAGAAAAAGTAAAAGATAAAAACAAACAAAAACAGAACAAAACAAAACAAAAACACAATATGATCAAATATGATCAGGTTAGTGCATAGATCAGTGCCACACACTAGAATTTGGGTGTATTTTGGTCTGTTAGAAGAGAGCGCCTCCTAAAATTTTAAAGAAAGACTTATATATGTACAAAATAAGGGTTGATACAATGAAGGGATGGAATATGATTGTAAAGATGAAAATTATAAAAGATTTTATAAAAGGATTTGGTAAGATAAGAAGTTGTTTGGAAAAAGAAAGAAGATTTTAAAAAAAGAAAAAAGGGAGAGAATGTGATCAGGCAGGAGACTAGAACAGAGCCATACAGTAGTGATTTAGGGTATATTTTGATCTGTTAGAAGAAACTGTATCTCAAAATTTTAAAGAGAGAACAACATATATATATGCCACAAATAAGGGTAACGACTATGAAGGGATAGAATATGACTCTAAAAATGAAAAATAAAAATGTTGTTTAAAAAAGGGATTGACAAGATGTTGGTTGAAAAAGGGAAAAAGAAAAATTCAAAAAAAGAAACAATTAAAAAAATTAATTTTGAAAGACTAAGGAATCATGGTAAAAAGACCATGTATTCTGTGTGCAGTAGCCCCCTAGCGCTGGAGTTCTCCCGTTCTGGTTGATCAGTAAACTTGGTCTTGACTGGCTATTCGCGCTGATCTTCTCGGGGAGGGGCCTGTTGCTGTGGTTCCCAAATGTCTTTGCCGGAGGTGGAATTGCCCCGCCCTTGCCGGTCAGGCTAAGTAATCTGTTCGGGTTTGCTCTCGGGAGCTTTTGTTCCCTGCAAGCTCTCCATATAGCTTTAGAGGATGAGACTGAAAATGGCGGTCCCCCAATCTCTGCCCCAGAGGAGCCAAGAACTTGGGGCCCCACTCCTCAGTGCACCCCCAGAGAAAAGCAGTCACTCCCATCTCCCCGATCTCCGGCCGCACTCCGTGCTCACCTGGCCTGTGACCGAGGGTTTCTATCTCTGGCTCCCGACCCCGTTGGAGTCTCCAAACCCAGCAGATCCCTGTGGTGCGCTCCCGCGCCGCTCCTCCTGGGGGAGGAAGGGGAGTCTCCCTGGCTCTGCAACTTTTTGGGTCCCTGCTGGAGGAGCAGTGGCCCGAATGTGTCGCCGATCACAGTTTATGGCAACCCTGAGCTGAGAGCCCGCACCTCGGCTCTGTCTCTGCAGCCGGCTTCCCAGCTCCGATTCCTGGGAGCTCTGCCGCACTCAGGCACCCCTGGTCTTTCTGTGACCCCGAGGGTCCCGATACCACAACCCTAAGCGAGGGTTCCACCCGCCGCTTAGCCACTGGAGCGACGTCCCTCAGCGGTGCTGGCTTCTAAAAGTTCTGATTTTGTGCTCCGCTGCTCTATCACTTGCCAGAAGTGGCCGCTGGAGGCCCCCTCCCCCACCATCTATCCCCTAAATATTGCCTCTGATTCACTTCTCTGCATGTCCTACCTTTCAGAAAGTGGTCGCTTTTCTGTTCAGAGAGTTGTTGGTGTTCTTCTCTTCGATCTCCTGTTGAGTTCATAGTTGTTCAGAATGGTTTGATCCCTATTCAGCTGAATTCCTGAGACCAGACGAAATCCAGTTCTCCTACTCCTCTGCCATCTTGCTCCGCCTTCCTCTAGTATTATTTTGTTTTCTTAGTTTTCCTATATTTTCTTACTCTTTTTCAATTTGTGGCTCTTTTGTAGACTTCTTTTACTTCTGTTTCTCAGCTTTATTTATATTCATTTACTTTTTTTCTTCTCCTGCCTTGAACTCAATCTCCTGCTTTTAACTTTCTTCCTACTTTTGTTCTTTTTAAATTTCTCTCAATTTTTCTCTTTTAACATGTCTCTTTATTTCTGTCTGTTACTCTTTGTATTGCATTTTCTTTCACTTCCTCTCCCCATAGGACTTTTTGTCCACTATTTTTAATATTATAAGTTCATTGTATTCCTAACTAATAACCTTTTAGAACACTCAAAATAGTAGTGGAAAGAACTCACATTAAAAAAAGAGTTAGCACAACTTCAGTTCTAACTTCATTAACTATCTTCCTTCCCTTATTTTTTTGAGAAATGGTTTCTGAACCTCAATTTTTTCATCTCTCAAGATGGGTATAATATCTACTTTACCCACCACCATTGAAATGTTGTGTAGGCCCAACAAAATAATGCATTGGAGAGTTAGAAAAACTGTAAGCCATTATAGGAATCATACAAGGAATGTTCACTTCAGCAGCACATATACTAAAATTGGAACAATACAGAGAAAGTTAGCATGACCTGTGTGCAAGGATGACATGCAAATTCATGAAGGAATCACACAAAGAATGACTAGGTACAGATATAGAACTTACATTCATTCTGTTAGGCAAATATGGGAAACCTCAAACATCTTTTTTTTAGGTTTCTAATTTCAAAAATTTCTAATTTTTGTTAGGAATCCTATAAACCAGTGTGTGAAGGTATAATTATTTGCTCTTAGTTTGTAAATATGTAATTATGGACAACTGTATCTTGAACCTAACCATTATTTATAATGTTTCTATGGAAAAATGCAATAGGGTAAGTTGCTAAAAGTTGGTGAAAATAAAACCTAACTGTCTTGGAGAGAACTTTTCAGAAACACTAGATCGGAAGAAAAAACAGGATTTGCATTATTTTGAATATAATCCCAATAACAAAAATTTATTTTCAGGGAAAGCAAGAAGTTTAGGTGCTGTGTTCTAAAACTTTATTACATGGTGGTTCTAAAAAGCTATATTATAGAACTTAGAAAATACCACTCCTAGGGGGTTATTTTTTCACTTTGTATTTCAGCTTCATAGTTAATATCTTTTTATTGTGGAACCTGGGTGAATCCAACCTCTAGGAATTCTGAGTGGGATAATGAGACAGTGGAAAAACTTGATCCTGGAGTCTATGGGCATGAATCATTTGAAATAAAAATCAACTGACATTCTAAGCATTGTCCAGGACCAAAAGACATTGTAATTGAGAGGTGACTTACCAATGGTTTTTTGAGAGAGCTCTAGAAAAATAAACAAAAGAAGAGAGGAAAGAAATCAATAGTTGCTCTCAGGGTCTGGAGCCCGTATTTCTCATTTGCATGCTTTTCCTGGTAATCTATGCCACTAAACTTGGGCTCAGCTACAGTGGGGTAGCAGGGATGTTGACTTTCTTCATGGATGCTAAGACAATCTAATCCATATAAGGGCCTCCTTATCTAATGGATCCACTGAAAGGCTAAGTAGCAAAAGTACTAAGTAGAGGTCACCCTTTTGGCCCATTTAAACCCCTGTAGAGGATTGGAAAAATCCTTCTCCATTTAAACTTAATTTTCTTCATTTCCCCTATATTTTCACTTCTGTCCATCTCATTCTGTTTTTAAAAGTCCTTTGTGTGATGTGATTGAAAACCTTATGGTTTATGTTTGGCACTGGAATGCACGTCATTAATGACTTACTGAAATGGTAGGTACAAGACAACAAAAAGGCCAAAAAAATGTGGACCCCCCCAAACCCCTGAAATCCTAACATAGAATCCAAGGAAGTGTCCCTAAGATACTGCAGGAAATTAAAATTCTCTACAGTGGGGAATCAGGCAGTAAACTTACTGATAGGTCCCGTAGCTCCTGCTAAGAAACAGAGAGGGAAAAAGAGAGGAAGAGAGAGAGGGGTGAGGGAGAAAGGGAGATAATCAGTATGCTTCATCACTGTGAGGAAAAGAACCATTCTTCAACCCTCACTCTAGAGGGAGTGTCATAAGTAGGAACCCTAGGAACATCAAGGGTTGCTTGCATGGCAGTCCTCAGATGGGCTTCGTGTTGTACAGTATAGGGGACTTCCAGGAACAGGGGCCTCCCCTTTTTTTTCAGTGATATTTGTAACCTTTAGAGGACTGGGATAGACTCATTCCATACTAATTCATAATGTCTCCTTTAAAATTTTTTTTTCTCTCATTCCATTACAGACTTATTGTTATTTGAAAAGTGAACTTCCCTTGCTGAGAGGCCTTATGACTGCTATTAAGAGGGTCCTTTTCTATTTTCTTATGTTAGCCCATGGGCTTTGCAGTCTCTCTACTTTATGCACAGCTTCTTTGGAAACTGTGTAATAGGAATGCTAGAGAGGTTGAGAAACATGGCATCAAGAAAACAGGGCAGATCAGTACTTAAGACCTTGTGGGTGAGAAATTAAAGGAACCAGAGTGGAGAAACAAATTTGATACTTACGAATTGGTGCTGTGAATTGCACTGAAATACGGAGAAGAGGAAAATCAGCAGGTTTGATATTAACAGAATGCTCATGCATCCAATATTCTTTTTAAAGAAACTGAAGCAACTCAACCAGAGGGAGAATTACGAAGGTATATGAATAGATAATTTTAGCAAAGAAGCCCCATAGCCCTCCCTCCAGATTAAGTCATTTGGCATTCATCATAAATGAGAAATCTATGGCAGAGGGGGACGTATAAAACTGGGGCTGAAGGTTGTCAATCTTTCCTTCACTTTCATCCGTCCTCTCTTTCCCTCTGTGCCTGGCCCAACACTCAGTTCTCTCAAAGGATTGACACTCCTAGGGGTAGGTGGGATGTCAGTTATGTTGGCTTTTTTTCATCACCACCTCCTCCTTGTCTTTATCATGCTTATTCTTTTGCCTTCTCCTAGAACCAACTGTTCTTGTAGTGTTTCCCTCTGTTTAGGAAAAGTCCACAGTAGTTATTTTAATTATTTTTATTATAAGAGAACTTTTTTCTGGTTTTAAATATTTATTTATATTTCATATTATTTTAAATATGAATGATTTTGCTTTCCCTTGTCTTAAACTCAGTCACAGTTCAGGGTTTTTTTTTCTGATGTCTTGAGCATCAAGAGGTGTCAGTAATTTAAATGCAATCATGCAATCAAGAAGCGTGGGTGAGAAAGCCTGGAAATAGAAAGAGCTTGGGTAAGGAGAGGTCCCATAGCTCACAGAAGACCAAAGAGTATCAGAATTAGGAAACAGAAAAGGAACTCACTTATGGGTCCAATGGTTCCAGCTAAAATATGGGAAAAGCAAAACAGACTAATTAGAATGGTTCTTTGGCACAGAAAATACACAGTTTGCACTGAAATTATTTTTGGGAGAACATCATAAATGCAGACACAGGGAACAAAATTTCTACCTCATCAGAAGAGTAAATAAATTTTATTCTTCATTCCCCACCCTGGAGGACCCCTGTAACTACTGGGATCTGACAGCTGGAGCTGCAGGGATGAAGTGGTCAGGGTTACTTCCCTGATGGGTCACTGTAACTCAGTAGATTCCATAGGCCATTGCCTTTCTTCCACCTGGGCTAATTTGAACTTGTTTAGCCAGAATCTATGGCCTCATCTTCTGAAGGAGGCAGTGGGAATTTTTGTCTCCTGTGGGTAACCTCAGCTCCCTTATTCATTGGAGTAACTTGGCCTGCAATATCTTAGCATGAAAGGGAATAGGAACTCTCAGAAGGCTCAAGACTTTCACAAGTGCAGTTGGCTGGTAAAGGGATTGAGGCACTAGACCCACATGCTTAACAATAACAGCCTCTCCTTTATAAACACCATACACACGGACACCTCTTTCTACCTCTAGGGCTACACGTGCTTTAGTGACACTTCCCCAGTGTTTACTCTTGATTGACTTTGATTATTTTAATTATGTTTCATGTGTATAAATGCTCCAGGAGGAGTAGACACAGCATGTGATTTGTCATGAGTTCTAACCCGCAAATCAATCTTCCTCTTTGGTGTTGGCCCTGCCCCAGGAGCTCAAGCTCTGAGCATCCTCAGCAGTGATGGATAGAAATATATTAAGAAATTAATGAAACCTTGGTGAGTTTCATTTTTCTTGTCATTGACTTTAAGGCTACTCTTGCTGTGGAGAATCTGAAGGGATGGAGGAGCTGGTTAAACTTAGACCAAGTGTACTCAACTTTTTATTTATTTTCTAGCTATAGAGGATTGAAACCCTGTAAGTAATGGTTCTAAGCCACCTGGGGATTTTCTTAAAAATGCAGATTCTGTTTTAGTGGGTTTTAGGTGGAGATTCTTCATTGCTAAGAAACTCCAAGGTGATGCTAATGCAGATCCCTGGACCCACTTTAAGCAGCAGGCCTTTAAGAGACTGGTAAAATCTCAGAGCTTGTATAGGTCACTGTTCCCATTTACCACTTTTTTTTCTTTTCTGTATCAACTGTCTCTCACCCATCCCTCATTCCCAGTGCTTCTGCCAGAGATGTTTGTTGTAATGTCATTTAAGATGCTATCTGGACACTTCTTCCAGATTTACTCTTTGTTAATAGCAGGGGACCCTCTATCAGTGAGCTGTGACTGGGATTTCTAGCAAGGGAACTTCCTATCTTTTAACACTTTTATTCTTAACACTTTTTCCTTGGCCATTGAATCTCAGGACTTTGAGAAATTTAAAAGTGATAGTACTTCCTCAGAGAGGCTCCCAGCTTATTAAAATAAGAATAGGGAATAAAGAAGGAGAAAATAATTGACAATTTGTGCAGGGGGAAATAAAAACATCCACGAATAGGAGACTCTTACATATTCTAACAGTGTAGTAAATCAAAGCACATGGGAATTAAAGCACAAGAAAGAAACTTACTTATGGGTCCTGCAGTGCCAGCTAAAATACAAACACAAACAAGTAAGTCTGGAGAGAGCATGACTGAAGGATATACATTTCAGGGAGCTTCAGTTCAAGCATTTACTACATTATTACATTTACATGGAAAGCAGTAAGAAGGTAAGTCTTCATTCCCCCCCTTTATTCCTTAGGAGACTCTTAAGATCGTATTTCCTGCAATTATTTTTCTTGTTCTCAATTTTTACTATCTTCCTATGGTCAAATCCTTCTAAAAATTTCTGTTTATTTTAGGTAAACAACTTCACCCAACCACAGGATTTTTCCTTTCACCTATGAATTAATATCATTAGAAGAGTTTCCACTTTGCTAAATAAGAAAATTGTCACGTAGAGGGATCCTGAAATCAGCCTCAAGTTCCTCACACTGGTAAAGGAAAAGGAGAATAGTAAAATAGTGAGTTGTCTCTTTTCTTACTCCTTTATGTGCCTACTTAACCCCCACTCCAGCCCCCCCCCCCATAGTAGGCACTTTGTAGAAGATTAAAAAAAAAACTGAGTTGAAAAGTAGGAGAAACTTACATAAAGGTTCTGGAGTTGCTTTGAGGGCTTTTGCATCACCTATGATGAAAAATGACAAGAACTGTGAGAGATAAATGTTGTTTAAGCAAAAAAAAAATGACAAATATAATCTCATCTAGATTTAGACTTTCAGAGAGCAAGAAGTGTAGGCAATCCCATTCCCTCCTCCCCATGTGTGCGGTACAAATAGTCAAATTTTGAGGGTAAAGATCCAAGGCTAGGGGCACCTGGGTGGCTCAGATGGTTAAGTATCCAACTCTTAATTTTGGCTCAGGTCACGTTCTCTGGATCCTGAGATCAAGCCCCATGTTGGGCTGAGTTTGGAGCCTGCTTAAGATTCTCTCTCCTTAAACAGTACGGAGGTTCCTCAAAAAGTTGAAAATAGAGCTACCCTACAACCCAGCAATTGCACTACTGGGTATTTACCCCAAAGATACAAATGTAGTGATCCAAAGGGGTACATGCACCCCAATGTTTATAGCAGCAATGTCCACAATGGCCAAACTATGGAAAGTTTGGAAAGAGCCAAGATGTCCATTGACATACATACAATGGAATATTATGCAGCCATCAAAAGGAATGAAATCTTGCCATTTGCAACAACGTGGATGGAACTGGAGGGTATTTTGCTAAGGGAAATAAGTCAATCGGAGAAAGACATGTATCATATGATCTCACTGATATGAGGAATTCTTAATCTCAGGAAACAAACTGAGGGTTGCTGGAGTGGTGGGGGGTGGGAGGGATGGGGTGGCTGGGTGATAGACATTGGGGAGGGTATGTGCTATGGTGAGTGCTGTGAATTGTGTAAGACTGTTGAATCACAGACCTGTACCTCTGAAACAAATAATACATTATATGTTAAAAAAAAAAAAAAGAAGAAGAAGATAACAGGAAGGGAAAAATGAAGGGGGGCGGATCGGAGGGAGAGATGAACCATGAGAGACTATGGACCCTGAGAAACAAACTGAGAGTTCTAGAGGGGAGGGGGTGCGGGTTGGGTTAGCCTGGTGATGGGTATTAAAGAGGGCATGTACTGAATGGAACACTGGGTGTTATACGCAAACAATGAATCATGGAACACTACATCAAAAACTAATGATGTAATGTATGGTGATTAACATAACATAATAAAAGTTGATTTCATGGGAAAAAAAAGATTCTCTCTCCTTCTCCCTCTGCCCCTCCCCACTCTCTCCTGCAAGCGCTCTCTCTCAAATAAATAAGTAAATAAATATTCAAGACTAGAGAGTCCCAGCTTCACTACTCCCTAGTTATATGACTACATGTTACTAAACCTTTGAAACATTACTTTTCTCATCTTTAAAATGGAAATTATACCTCCTTTCTTAGAGGCATGGCTACAGTGAAAAATCAAGAATAATAACGGTTAGGAAAGCTGATAAGTTCTATCAGAATTGTTTGGAAAGAAATATTCAGTGACTACAAAGGAATGAAACTCTTATGCAAGTAAGTTTTCACTGTGTTTAAGGTCTTCGGCTTTAGTTTACCTTTTTTTCTACTTTCTCTATTTTTTCCTCTTTTTTTAAATTTTATTTTATTATGTTATATTAGTCACCATACTTTTTAAAAATTTTATTTTATTATGACTACTTTTCCCTCTTATATCTTATTGTCATTTGGAAAGTTCTGAATGCTGGTGACAGGGCATTTTCATGAGCACTTCATTGTGTTGTTTTGGTTTGCTGATCTGTGTGATTTCACTCTTTAAGAAAAAATCTTTTTGTATTCCTTAGTTACCACAGTACCTTAGTTATACCCGTTGATGTTGCAGTGAGATTGGCAGGAGTGTGAGAACCATTGCTTCTTCCTTGAGAGTAACCAATCTTATTTTAAGATGTCAAGACCTCTCTACTGAAACAAGTGTATTTATGAGATGAATTAATTTTCCCATGGAATTTCAAAGGTTTTGTGTGTGTGTGTGAAATTATGGTTTGAAGTTTTAGAACCTACTTTGGACTTCCGTTTTCCTATTCTGGAGATTTTCACTGAAATCTTTCCTCCCTATTGCTTTCCTCCCCACTCTTTCTTCTTTTACCTGTTCAAATCTTTTTACCTTACATAGTTTTATTTCTCTGTTGAACATTCTTTAAGTGCTGAAGTATTATTTTAAAAAATTATATTTAGTAAAAAAGCTTTTAGTGAGTTGAAAAATTTACAACTTATTTCTCTTAAAATAATTATAGTTTTTACTTATATATTTATGACTTGATTTTTGTTTGCTAGTTTGTTGTGTTTGGGGGGAAATAGTAGATTTTCACAGAAATTATAAGATCTCAGCACTTGGGAAGAGATATTGCCTTTTCTATGTGCTATAGACTAAGGTAACATACTGCCATTCCCACTACCAAATAAAGATAATTTATAAAAGACAGCTCCCATATATTTAAGATTTCATAATATTGACTCATATCAGGAATGATGAATATATTTGAGTTAATGGGCTAATTCTGATCAATTAGTAGCAACTCCCTGGACAAGAGAAAAATTTTAGATTGTATGTGGGCTGAGCAGGAAAGAACTATAATCACCTACTGGTATCTGCCACAGGCAAAGGTATAAGCAGAGGTGGAACATATATATTTTTGGAAATTTTTGAACTGAGAGTTTTGTGGCCTTGTCCAGTTGAAGACAAATAAGCATGATAGCAAAAGGTTTCCACTTTCAAAGTGAAGCAGTTAAAAAGCTTAATTATAAGACTTGAGTATCCTGCCAAAATACTAAGTATTATGTATGTTTCAGTTAAGGACACAGCCTCTGCGGATAGTCTGCCTAATGAAAATACTAGAATTATTTCTCTTAGAGAGTGCCAAATTTTCCACGCTAAACAGAGATACTGGTTGACTTTGTGGGGGTCAAAAGCTCAACTGCTTCAGTAAGTCTCATGAATTGTGAATCTGTCAGTTTTAGGGGATAGTGGAGAATTTGGGCATTTGAAAAGTGCATACTCTATCTAGAAGCATTCACATTCAAAATTTAAAATAATGCAATGCTGGTCAACCAGAACACATGTACAGGTGGCACTGGGCTACTGGTTTGCCAATTTGGGAGCTCTACTTTGGAAAGGGAAAGTGTTTAAGTGAGTACCTTGCACATTTCAACAACAGTACGGTGTGAGATCCACATCACCACAGGCTGTGGCCTGAGTTGAGATAAACCAAATGAATTCCCTTTTTTTGTTAATTTAATCATAGGTATTGGTTGGGTCACATTTAATTAAAACCCGTAATTCACAAACTTGTTCAGGTTGTGAAGCACCCGGAAGCTGTGATACTTTTTAGAGAAAATCAGGCAATCATGACCTTTGAGCAAGAAGTAATTTTACTCGTTGTGTGCCCAAAAATATAATATTCAATATGAAAAATTTTATCAGAAGCACATAGCTCAGAAGAAAAAAATTTGTCAACCAGAATTATCTCTTTCTAAATTTTAAAATTTTTTTGTGTCATTTTCCCTAATTTGTTACTTTTCTGCCCCTCATTCCTCTCCCATTCTTCCCTTTTAGAAAATGCATTCATTCTGCTTTGGAAATAAATGGAAATCAGTTCCAGGAGACTGATTTAAGCCTTATCACCTCATTTTTTCTTCTTTCTCCATTCATGTCTTCTATATTCCCTCACTTTTCTGTTCTTTTCTGTTAATTTTTCAACTGGTAGTTGAAATTATAAAAGCTTAATGAGAAATTAAATAACTTGCCTATGTTCAAAGAACCAGTAAATAGGGAGCTGGCATACAACTCCAGGCAGCCTGGCTCCAGAGCCTGCATCTGTAACAGACTCCCTGTACATTTATAATACATTAATAAAAAAACTTATTTTTAAAGTGGTTTTTAATAGTTCTTATTATACCACTCTCAGTTCATGGAGAAATAATGCATATTTTCTATAATGGGGTAAACAATAGCTTATTCCCAAGTCCACGGCCAAAGTAAACAGCATTTTGTGGGGGTTGGGGAGTCATGTAGTTAGAAAGGGACACAGAGTCCAGGGAGGACCTGTTGGGATGGAAGAAAATCAAATCTGCTCTATAAGGAGAGGGAGTTAATGGAAGAGAAAAATACAAAGATATAAAAGAGAGAAGCTATGACAGCTGAAGAGAAGGTGGGGCTGGGAGATGAGGTCCCATGACAAGACATGACAAGAGTGCAGGAATTTGCTTAAAAGCAAGAAGGGGAGTGTCATTGTCTTAGGGGAAAGGTGAGGCAGGTGAACATGGTGTAGGTACAATAACTAATGAAGGAGAAGGTGGAGAATGATGAGCCTCCAGCACTCTCACTCTGACATAGCATATCTCCCCAGATAAGACAGGGAGACGTCCTCTGCCTAGTGTGGGAGCCTTACAACACCAGATTTTGAAAGGAGAAGAAAAACTTACTCATGGATCCTTGCAGTAACGCTAAAGAACAATAACAAATATTCAAATCGGCTTAGAGTTAATGGTTTAAATAATCCACCCGTTTCCCAGGGTCTTTCCAGAAACTGTACCCTCCATTCCCCAGTAGGCAGATGGGTTACCACACTTGCATCTCGAATCATCCCCCCATTTGGACACTATCCAGGAGTGAAATTCTCAGGACAGTCTCCAGGTTTACTGTATTTTCAATATTCTGATTTCATTCAACATCTTTCCTTTCCCCTATTTTCTACTCCTCCTTCTTTCTTTTCCTTTTCTCAGTTTGGAGAATCTCCTCTTCATAAAGTAATAGCTTCAAGAACCAAAGAAAGGCAATCTTAGAAAGGTTCCAATTTTATAAAAAAAGAAGACTGAGATGGAGAGAGAGGAAGGTCTGTGCCTGAGTATGCTAAAAAATATATGCAGTTTTCGCCTCCAATTTTTCTGACTCAAAGTTCAGTGCATTTTCCTCTGTACTGCATACAGTTTTCTCTTTCTGTTCTTTCTGGAATAGTCCTTTAAAAAGTAAATTAACTTCTTTCCTATATATTGACTTTCTCTTTTTTTTGTTGTTCTTTTTATTAATCTCTGGAGTGTTCCTCTTATAAAATTACCTAAATAATAGGGAAGGTTTGTGGAAATTTTAATATTAAATCATGACAGTATTAGTAATATGTAAACTACTATAGAATGAACCCCACTCTATTCAGTGGAAGAAGGCTGAGCATTTGTCTTATTTGCCTTATGTTGAGGTTAAATTCCTGTGTGAAATTTGATCTTAGATCATTTCCATCAGCTATTTGGAACCTTATTTAACCAGTCTCTAAAAAGACAGGATTTAACAATGCTCTGTTCAGCTTAACTTTTAATGATTCATTTAGTCTAAATCCACAAACTGAAGTCCTGTATTCCTGGGCCTTTTAGCCTTAGCTAATAAAATCTAGGATAATGGGAAGCAAAAAGACTGACATTCTAAATTTAGGGCCTGCCCAGGAAAGGGCAGACAGGCAGAACAAGGTGCCTAGATACGAAGGATTCATGGCAGAGAAACAACCAGAACATGCTCAATTCCCTTGTAAACTGTGCTAAATGGACACACAGATAAATTCATGAGGTCAACTGTTTAAAGGCATCAGAGTTAATCCCATTTGAAGAGATGCTTCAGGAAGAAGCTCTCCACTCCCTTCCCCTGTGATTTAGTCACAGATGGTGGAAAGATATTGTGCTTTGGTGCTGTGACAGAGGCCCAGAAAGACATGGAGGACTGGTGATGAACAGGGAGGCCATTTACGTCTTCTTTGTAAAGGTTGAATCTCTTAAGGGAACGTGGAAGACGTAAGTCTTGGTTAAACTTTCTTTAGTTGTCCTATGTACTCCTTTTTACCTCTTGCTTACTCACATGTCTCTTTCCTGAATTGAGAAATAGAAAAGAGACTTAAATACTCTTTCTGGAGTTGACACTGAGGAATAATAGCAAAAATCCACAGGAGTCTGGATTAATGGCCTAAAAAGCATATGATTCTCATGGAACTCTTTTTAGAAAGGGGGTCCTCATTAGTCTTCATGAAGTACAGTGGGTGATCAGATACTAGAATGCTTGGATTTGAATCCTAGTTCCTCTACTTACTAGCTGTGTGGCCTTGCATAAGTTATTTAATTTTTTGTGCCTAAAAATTACTCATTTTAAACACAAGATTTATAATAATATCTACTTCATAGGATTGCTATGAAGATATAATACATATACTCCATACATATTATTATAATATTGTTTCAAATTGCAGTCCTTATCTATGTATACCTATATATACCTGTGTGGGACAGATGGACCATATCTTCCACTGCCTCAGGCACTGTGCTGGTTTAAGATTTTCAAAGAAATAATAGAATCAAGCCCTTTGTGCTCCTGGTTTGAGAGCCCTTCCCCAAGTTACCATAGTCCACTGAGATGTCTCTGAGAATGACCTCTCAAGAGGGCCTCATTCATCCTCTAGGACCACACAGTATATTGAACTTTGGGGTGAATGGCTTCATGAATCTTTCAGCTAAATACTATATATAATAACTAATTACTCACCTTCCTCTGAGATCAAGCCCAATATGTGTCACATATCCATTTACCTTATTCACCATCAGAAGATAATTCTCATCTTAAGGAGCATATTATCATAATGATTAGTATAACTCCTAATCTGATTTTCTTTCTTACTCTCTAAAATCCCAGCACACCATGCTGTCCGGAACTCATATCAGCAGATTCCCCTCTATTTTTAACTCTCCAAATGTTTTCGTTATTTTGTATTGACAAGCCCAATTGTCCTTTAAAGTACTATGTCTCTTGCAGCCCTCTGAGCAATGACTATCTTTTGATTCCATGCTCATGTACCACAGAGCCTGGAAATATTGCAGGAGAAATTAAAGATCTGTGTTGCTTACTGAGCATATGTCAGCCTGAAGATATTTTACTTTGTTCCTGTAGTAAATTATCCTTTCTGTGACTTAATTGGATGAAAACAAAACTAAACTAAATAAAATCTGTTTTGATTATAACAGTAATAAAATATGGAGCTTGATAGTTTTCTAAGGTCATTATATGTAAGATATATATGTAATATGTCATTATGTAAGATATATAGATCTTACATATATATCTTACATATACATATTATGTATCTATGTAATAAAACAGCCTTATTCATCAGATGCAGTTATGTCAGTATCGGACTAGCAAAATAATTTTGAGATTTAGATTAATTCACATTTTTTGCATTGTTAAATTACATATTAAAATGGATGTAATATTTTTTACATATGCATAATGTCCTACATTTCCTGAAACTTTTTATTTCAGGAAGACACTTTAAATTGAAAAATTAAATATAAATATTTTTAATGGTGTCCTGGGGATAGTTGGACAAACACAAGATTTAGTCAAAAGCTCAGTGTGTAGAAACTCAGTTTTACCTTCTATGAACTATGTGCCTTTGGGTAAGTTATATAATATCCTTAAGTTCACTTTTCTTATCTACAATACCTGTAAATATGGACTCAACAAACATGGTTTGTTTAAGCTACAACTCTCCCCTTTACTCTCATTCCCTGCCCTTTTCACAACCTTCTTCCTGCTTCTGAGTGAAAGAAGATATTTTGTTTTGCTGAAACCATCATAGCCAACTAAAACCACTTGAATCGTCTCTTTCTTCATAATCAGTGGACTTTTCATTTTTCAAAGCTCTCATTAACTTCAGATAAATGCTCTATTATAGAGAAGGAAGAAAAGATGAGGGATGAGGCTAGGCAGAGTTAGGGCATGAGCTCCAGGTCTGTGATACAGAGGGAATTAGAATTGAGAAAGAGAAAAGGAACTTACCCTTTTGTTCTAAAAAGAAACACAAAAAAGTTTATGTGGTTGTCTGGCATCTTTTTATTGCTGTTTTTCATTTTGGGAGTATCAGAACAGGGAACCCCTGCGAGCACCAACCCCTGAGTGTCAGTCGTGGCTCAGGGAGATAAGGGATTAGACATCTCCTCCATTGTTGCCATTCAAACCTGGGGACACCTTGAATTGAATTGGAGAAAAGTAAAGGAACTTACCAATACTTGATCGAGACAGTGCTAAAAGAAAAGAAACAAGAATGAGATCTGTGTGTTTCAGGGAGAATCTAAGACTACATAGATTACATATGAGGAAAAGGTTGTGGGAAAGAGGGCAACAATGGGTCACATCCCATTTTCTGTTATCAGGTGCAATGCAGTGTCGTGGGCAGATGGATATCCATTTACGGATTGTTTTGGGGGCTTTTGTATATTTCCTTAGCAATACTCTTATGGTAGGGTAGGACTACAACACCTATGTAGCCTATCTTTTAAGTTCTCTTAGTAAGAGAATAACAATGCTTGTGAGGATTGCTAGTTTTTTAGTCCACGGAAACTTTTCTGCCTCTGTGACTTTCTTCTTTTTGATCCTGCTGCTTTTGTTTTTTCTGTTTTCCTTCTCTACCTATCTTCCTCCTCCTCCTCTTCTCTCTCATTTTTCTTTCTCTTTTTTCCTTTTTGTTTAAAGATCTTTTGCACCAAACTATTACTACATAACAGCTTCAATAGGGGGTTTATACTTCTCAAAAATCATTTGTGTCCTATGGGGAAGTTCAATAACAAGAAAACAAAATCAGGATGTCCCTAGATATTAAAAGATAAAGAGTCAAGGCAGGAAAAAGGGACTTGTTGTCAAGATGGATATTTCATCCTCTCCTCTAATCACTTGGAAAAGTTGGGCATGATAATTTTTAAAGTTTTAAACCATAAAGTTGAACTTGAAAACTAGAAAGAGAAGTCTCCAAGGGCCATATATCAAGAGGGAGCCCATAATTTTGATAGCAAGTGAGAAGATTCATCACCCATATATCTTAATGGGAGGTTGGCTTTTCAGCACATGATCAGGAGTAAAAATTAAGGCCACAGACCTCATGCTGTGGAAGAACTTGGGACTAGTCATTGTGTATATCTAAGGCTCACAAAACCACTATCTGTGAAAAGGGCACCATTAATTCATATCTGTTTGTCAGGGTTTGCCAAGAAGTGATCTATTTGCAGCAGGCTATAGCTGGAGATTGAGCCTCCAGCAATGGTAGAACTCTCAGTATAAGCCAAGTTCAGGTATAGGACCCACATTTGAACCACTCATATAAGGGAGAAACTATGAGTGCAGAAATGGTTATAAAAACTGCCTTAGGAAATCTATGTACTAAAGGATTATTGCACAATAGGGAGTTTATGAGGAACTCAAACAAATGATAACTAATAAACTCACAGGCTAACATTAAAATACATTTGAGGAAATCTACTGCTGTGACAGACGCCACAACAAATGGGACTACCTATATAAGAAGAGTAATTCAAAAGGAATTTTCAAACAAGTGTGTTTCATATATTCAAAGATATGAAAGATGGAATAGAATCTACAAAGCAAAAGCAGAATTAATCAGGAGCAACTATATCTGACAAAGAACAAAATGAAATAGCAGATATAGAAAACAGCATCATTAAATTATAAAAAATATTGGGGGGTAAACAAAGAGAATAGATGCAACTGAAGAAAGAATTAATGAATGGTAAATCTGAAGGAAATTATCCAGGACCCAGTATCAAGAAATAAGGATCTAGTGTGACCGAGATTGCCTTGCTATTCACCAAAGTAATTTCCTTTTTCTCCAAGGCACATATGTGATAGAAGAATTTCGCCCTGAGATGTCCATGTCCATTAGGTCCTGGAACCTGAATATGTTAGGCTACGTGAGGGAAGGGATTTAAGGTTTAGGTGGAATTAAGGTTGTTAACCAGCTGACCTTAAATAGAAATATTATCCTGGATTAGGTGCGTGGGCTCAATGGAATCATAAGGGTCCTTAAAGATGGAAGCAGGAGATTGAAAGGAGTCACAGAAAAAGGTGTGACAATGAAAGAAGGCCAAAGTGATGTGTGGCGGGGCTTAGTCAAGTTTTGCTAGTTTTGAAGATGGAAGATGGGAGAACATGAGCCAAGGAATATCTAGAAACTGAAAAAGCAAAGAAACAGGTTTGCTCCCAGAACTTCCAGAAGGAATGCTGCCCTGCTGCCACCCTGATTTTAGCCCAGTGAGACATGTGTCAGATTTCTGACTTATAGAACTAAGATAATAAATTTGTAATGTTTTAAGCCATTAAGTTTGTAGTGGTTTGTTACAGTGGCAATAGAAAACTAATACAATATGGTTTGATTATTTCCCCCAGATTCCCTTTCAGTTAGATGGGGCTATATAATTGAGTTCTAGCCAGCCTAATGTTGTTGAAAGAGATATGTGAAATAATACCCAGGTTTCCCCATAAAAGCCCCATTCATGGTCTCCAAGCTTCTCCTGCACTCACTTAAGGCAGATGTGATGAACTCAGAAGCCATTAGTTGAAGATGGTGGAAACATAGGATAAGACAAACTTGCTTGCTGAAGTCATTGCTGAGAGGAGAGCCAATTACCAATCAGGCATCCCTATTTTACATAATAGAATTTTATGAATAGAACCACTGAGATTTTAAGATTTATCTATTACAGGATCACAGACTAACATAATTAATAAAGATGAGATAGACAAAAGAGAAATTATGAGACCTGAAAGAGGAGAGGGGAATCTTTACATATATTTGATAGCAATCTTAAGAGAGACTATAGTTTGTTAGATAGATGATAGATAGATGATAGATAGATAGATAGATAGAGAGAGAGAGAGAGAGATATACACATAAGTATAAACATGGGATATATTCATAGCAGTTAATGTCAAGAATTTTCTATAAATAAAGAGAGATAGGAGTCCACAGAATGGAAAATCTTGAGTCTTGAGCAAGATAAATGAAGTTAATCTCACACCCAGAGACATCATAATTAAAATGAAGAATACAAGGATAAAGAGAAAATCTTAAAACCATATTTGCTTAGGAACCATCAAACTAGTAGTAAATCACAATAAGAAACGTCAGAAGAAAATGAAATCAATCTGCAAAGTCTTGAGAGAAAAAAAATGTTAATTATATACTCAGCTAAACTCTTATTTAAGGCTGAGGGTGAAGTAAAGCTATTTTCAGTCATAAAGGCTTAGAGAAATGTTCACATATATATGGATATGGGGCCTTAAAAGCAACTAAAGGATTGTACTTGGGTAAGAATTAAAAGAGAAGAAGACACGGGATATGTCAAATAATTATAAACAGAGAAAATGGTCACATATTTTTACAAATCAATTGGATATAAAGAAGTAAACAATTATTTTGTTTTTAAAAATCATATTATAAAACAACACGGAAGATGTTGAAAGGGTAGATAGTCAAAAGAGGTTATTGTCTAGTCTGAGAGTAAGAAAAAAATACTAATTAGTTTTTTTTTTTTAGAAAAGTCAAGCAGTATGGATGTTATAAATCTAAGAATGAATAAAATAAAAGCTACCAAAACAGGTAAAGCAAAACAAAAGGAACAAGAAAATCTAACAATCCAATAGAAAGTGAGAAAGAAGATTTAAAAAATAAAAGAATAAAACATGGTAAATAGAAAACACAATAAAATTGGCAGAACTTAGGTAAAATATATCAGCAATATATAATAAATGTAAAATGGACTAAATTTATCTGAGACAAATTTTTAATTGTTAATGTGAACAGAGTCAAGCAATATGCTATTTTAAAAAGATAAAAATGAGAGAAAACAAGCTGTAAGTTTGATAATAAAAGAATAAATAAATAATAGAGAAATACATATTATAACAAAGGTTTTGGAGCAATACTAGTATCAGATAATGTAAAATTTATCCAAAATCCATGAGTCTATGGATGGACATGGTATCATTGTAAAAAAACAAAATTTAAAAAAGGAACAATTACAACTTGTATGTATCTAACAAAAATCAAAATATGCAAAAGAAAAATTGGAAGTATTAAAAAGAAAAATGACATCAAAAGGAGGCAATTATATTTGGAGACTTAAACATATCTGTGTGAAGCTAGTATGTCACGCAAAAGAATAACAATAGAGAATATTTGAATAATAAAGTTAATAAGCTTGGGCTGGTAGTACATCTGTGGGTAAAATCTTGAACTCAACCGATAAAAAATATTCTTTGTAAGTTTACTTACAAAGCATCAAAAGTCTCAACACATTTCAAAGAATCTAAATCACACACATTGGACTTGTAAATCATAAGACAATTTATGATCAACAATAAAAATAACAAATGAACTTAGAATGAACTTAAATATTTACATTAGAAAATAAGAAAGTCTGGAGAAGCCATTTTGGCGGGAGCAAGATGGTGGAGGAGTAGGAGACCTGGAAGGAATTCGTCTGGTCTCAGGAATTCAGCTGGTTAGGGATCAAACCATTCTGAACACCTACAAACTCAACAGGAGATCGAAGAAAAGAACAGCAACAACTCTCTGAACAGAAAGCGACCACTTTCTGGACGGTAGGACATGCAGAGAAGTGAATCCAAGGCGATATTCGGAGGATAGACGGCGGGGGAGGGGGCCTCTGTCGGCTGCTTCTGGCAAGTGATAGAGCCCCGGAGCACAAAATCGGAACTTTTAGAAGTCTGCTCTGCTGAGGGATGTCGCTCTAGTGGCTAAGCAGGGGGTGGAACCCTTGTGGGACAGTGTGGTCTCAGGACCCTCCGGGTCACAGAAAGACTGGGGGTGCCTGAGTGCGGCAGAGCTCCTGGGTATCAGAGCGGCTGCAGAGATGGAGCCGAGGGGTGGGCTCTCAGCTTGGGGTTGCCATAAACTGTGATCCACAGCACAGTTGGGCCACTTCTCCTCCAGCAGGGACCCAACAAGCGGCAGATCCGGGGAGACTCCCCTTACTCTCCTGGGAGGAGCAGCATGGGAGCACACCATAGGGATCTGCTGGGTTTGGAGACTCCACATCAAGTTGGGTGCCAGAGATAGAAATGCTTGGTCATGGGCCCGGTGAGCACGGAGTGGGGCCAGAGACCAGGGAGATGGGAGTGACTGACTGCTTTTCTCTGGGGGCTTACTGTGGAGCGGGGCCCTGAGTTCTCGGCTCCTCCGGGGTGGAGATTGGGAGGCCACCATTTTCAC